TGCTTCCTAAGTGAGTCTTTTTCTGGCTAATCCAGTATATTCTTTGGATATCAGTGTCACACTTTCCTTCCTCTGTTAGAACACCTTCAAGATATTTAAATATTTGTACTTATTTGATTTTACTATCCCTAATTTGTAATTTGTATTTTGGACTAATTCTTTTGCATTCTGTGGTCTTGTAGTTTATACTTACTCTTTTCCTCTCACTTTCCTCTGCTACCTTCTGTAAGAGTTTTTGTACTTTTCTTTCTGTGTCTGCTATCACCATTATCATCTGCAATTCTTATGTTGTTAAAATTTTGGCTGCCAATAATGAATCCAGGTAGGACTTCTAATTCTCTAAGTATTACCTCACTGTATAGGTTGACTAAAAGAAGACACATTCTTGTCTTACACTCTTTTCTATTTTTGTATTTTGTTTAACCCATTCACACAGTTTGTTTTTCATGTGGCCATGTATCATTTCTTTTAATTCAGGCATCTGTCATTATTTAATTTAGGCATCTGTCATTATTTAATTTAGGCATCTGTCATTATTTAATTTAGGCATCTGTGATTTCTTTTAATTCACACATCTGTTATTTCTTTTCTTTCATGTGTTTGTTATTATTCTTTTTATTATCTTTCCTATATAATGTTCTCTCTCTAACTCTTTTCTTTGACTTTTTATTTATGCAGGCTTTTGCTCTTATTTGATGTTACTAAGTCAGATTTCTCAGAAGATTGACTGACAATATCTAGCATTAACGTATATATATATATATATATATATATATATATATATATACATTCATTGCTCTTTTTTTAGTTGGGAACTGTGTTTGTTTGATAAAAGTTAACCAGGGACAAAAATATGTTGCAATTAAAATTTATTTCAAAATCTAAGTGCAAAAAGTTTTAGTGATGCAGTGAGGGTAAAACTTCTTTTCTGGTCAGCCTTCAGCATGCCTTCACATTCAGAGGGTGTGGCCTGTAATTATTCTCTTACAGGTTTTATAAAATGGTAAGAGTTGAATGAAGTATTTGATGCAATTTTTTTCCAAAAAATGGTAAAACAAACTCTCTGCATCTTATATATAAAATTGAAGCTTCAGTTTTCTACTGTGTGTGAGAAAAGAGATGGTGTCACTTTTCTTATCCCCATTATTCTTAAGGTGCAAAGTGTAAAACAAGATTTGAAACTCTGAAATTTGAATTAAATTTAGCATATATTTAAAAAGAAAAAACATTGAAAACAGAATATAAAATGTACAAATAAGATTGCACACTTTAGGCCAGATCAGTCAGTCAGTTATGTGCCATACATGATATATGCTTAGGCAATCATGCATCTTTTGATACATGACTGACAAGGCAGATTTTTTCCCACAGTAGGTTGCCATTTCTTTCTGTAGTAGACCAGTTGCCATCCAAGGCTATAGAACCCTATCTGTCCTGCTATTTACCCATAGTTGGGGTGAGAAGAAGAGGATTCATACCTTTCCCAAGAGTATTAGCACGTAAGTGAATCTAATGGATTTGAGTGGAATTTGAACTTGGCTCTCCAATTCCTCAATCCGAGCCACTATCCATTACTCCACTGTGCCTCCTTAGGCCAGATAACACATTCTAAAAAAAATTTTTCTTTGGGCTCATTGAGATTAAAACAATACTGTCTCTTTAAAAAAAGATGCAAACAACAGAGTTTGCTTAAAAAAAGATGCACTTATTTATTTCAAAGTTCAAATCTTGAGAAGGTTGGCAAATGCATTAGCATCACTGGGTATTAACCAATTAATGTTCTGAGACAGAACCACAATATCAAGATGAATCTCATTATTTTCTTTTTTTTAAACAACAATTCAAAATTAGGGATGATAGCATGAATTTAGGTATTTTTTTAGTTTTTTTTTTCTGCTTTCTTTCAACTTTGTATCTTTTTCTTTCTTGCATCATTGACAAATTTAAAAACAGCTCAGATCATTCACCAGTGATAATCAAAATCCTTCTAGCATTTCCAACCAACTCAATTCCTTAAATACTCACCAACAGATTCCAGAATTGAGTCCAAAATTTTTATTGTATGCAAGGAAGTCACCCTTTGCTACAAAATACAAAAAATGATTTGCTAAAAAATGTATCCTTTTTTGAAATTTGAAATACAAATCACATTAACAAACCATCAGTCTTATTTTGCCAATTCAATTTACGACCTCAGATTAGTTTAGAAAGTCTAAAACACAAATCTTACAGATTAGATTTATTACAGTTAATTTTTGTTAAGTATCTGCCTTTTTCATAATTATTTTAAACACTTCTATTAAAAGAAAGAGTTTAAAAAAAACAACTAATCATTTTATTCTATGTCCTCACTTTACTAACTCTGATAAAAAAAAAACAAAAAAACTTTTACACAGATTCAGGGCAGGGTAACTCTATACATATATATATATATATGGCAATTAACTCCTTGCCCGATAAGGACAGGTATGTGCAACAGGTGTCACATCATCCAGCAACTGTTAGCATAAATGGCGTAAAGGGGATAAAATTCCTTGGAACCTAACCCTCACCCTGGAAGCAATGACATGAGTGACGGGTGTCACTGGACCATATCAAAAATAAAATAATTCTCAGGACATGGAACATTCAGACGTTGAACAACTGTGGCTAGTTAGATAATGTGAAACAAGAGATGAGCGGACTAAAAATTAACATCTTAGGTGTATGTGGAATGAGTTCAGCAGATATACAAAAACAGAAAGGGGTATAAGGCAAAGGTGTGTCTTCTCACCAGACTTATTCAACTTATACAGCAAGGCAACTCTGAGAGAATTGGAAATTCTACCAGGATCTGGCATTGACAGCCACAGTCTTACCAATGTAAGATATGCAGATAACACAGTACTGATAGCCGAAAATGGAAAGGAAATTACAAAATCCCTTTCTCCTCAAAGATGAAGAAATGACTTCAGGCAACAGAGGTATGGCTCTACAGAAGGATACTGAGGATATCATGGAGTGAGTGTGTGAGCAACAATGAGGTCTTGGAGGAGGAGGAGGCTTATACATCAGGAAGAGGCAGATGAAATTTCTGGGATACATAATGAGAAAGGAGGGCATGGAGAATGTGATACTCACAGGTTGAATAGAGGGAAAGAGAGAGACAAGGGAAAACAATGCATGACATACCTGGAGGAGTTAAGCAAGTGGCTGTCAGGACGTGGTCAGCAGGAGGTGGCAGAGGGACGAAACATATTGAGAGCATCAAGGGATAGGGAGGAAGTGGAGAGCCATGATCGTCTACATCCTGAAAGGACACGTCACATAAAAAGAAAGAAAAGAAATAAACAAACCTAATCTATTGCATGATTATTATATTTTTTATATTCACCTTTTTATTAATCTTTTATATAATTTACATTCTTATTATATAATTTTTATATTCTCCTCTCAAAGAAAATTGTGGTAAACCAACTGATTATTTTTTTTATTTACCCTTCAATTAAGTTCATATAATTTTACATTTCATTTTTATTATAAAAATATTATAATGAAGCTATTTGAACTATTTATATTTGGACTATTGTCCTTATCTTTGTTGTTGTTATCACAACATTTTGGTCACTGAACCATACCAGACAAGGAACAACATTGGAGAGTTAGATGTCTGAACGAAACATCAAATATGCTAGGCAAATGACAGCAAGGCTTCAACAGCAGCAGCAACAGTGGCAATCAGAACATGGCAATCAGCATCAGCAGCGGTTGCAGCACTAAACAGCATGAAGGTTAGTTTTAAGGCCCCAAGTTCATTACAGCAAATTGTCTTTCAGGACAGTGGCCTAGAATAATGAATTAAAGCACTGGTTCATGAATATGGTGACATAGTGATTATGAGTTCAATCCTTAGTGTGTACTTGAACTCAGTGAAAACTGGTGAGCAATAACTGAGCAGTATTAAAAATAAGAACAAAACAAAATATTTTTTGACTTTGACAGAGGAATGAGGACAGTCTACTGCCATGGATTAAAAAAAAGGCTTCAGTTCAGAATTCCCTGTATGTTACCCAGATTGATATGTACCTGATGAAGGCCATAGAGCCAAAATGTTGTGATAACAACAACAAATATGAGGATAATAGTCCAAATGTATAATATTGTAAATAAGGATACCTCCTCCTCCTCATCCCAGAAATTCTGACAGAAATGACAGATATCCTGAACATGCAAAAGTCATGAGTTCTTTTTTATCACAATTTTATATTCAGTCAATTGTTGACCAACAATTAATTTATACTTTTTTTGATAGTTTGTTATAATTTTTGAAAGAATTGTCATTTTTATAACACATTAGATGTGTGACAGAAATGTTTTATGATACATTAAAAGTAAAGTGCACTGCAAATGTTTTATGATACATTAAAAGTAAAGTGTACTGCAAATGTTTTATGATACATTAAAAGTGTGACTGCAAATGTTTTATGATACATTAAAAGTAAAGTGCACTGCAAATGTTTTATGATACATTAAAAGTAAAGTGTACTGCAAATGTTTTATGATACATTAAAAGTAAAGTGCACTGCAAATGTTTTATGATACATTAAAAGTAAAGTGCACTGCAAATGTTTTATGATACATTAAAAGTAAAGTGTACTGCAAATGTTTTATGATACACTAGGTTTGTGCCACATATGTTGGTATTAGGTGATCAAAACATTTGATTATTTATTTTATTATGTGAAAATAAATGACAAATTATGGCTTATCAATCCTTTGCAAGTTATTTTAAGCCAGAGAATATTTTTAGATTGTAAGTTTTTTTTTGAGATAATAATGGTTTAGTGATACAAGTCTTACTAATTAACCTATAGCTGGGGGAGAAGAGGTGGATTCATACCTTTTCCAAAGGTATTTGTGCATATGAATATAACAAACCCAATGAAATTTGGAACTCAGATGTCTGATTAACAATTCTGAGAGCCATTATCCATTACATCACCTGTACATTCAAGCTAACAAGCACGTGGTATTCCCAAGCAGTCACCTATTTAGGTACTGACCAGGCTCAATGTTGCTTAACTTTGGTGATCATATGGGAACCAATGTTTAAATGTGATATGGCTATAAGCCAAGTTAAGTCTCTAAGAGATTGTACAGTGGTTTAAATTGTCATGCACAGAAGAAAGTTGAGAAATAGACTTGTTTATTTGGGTTGCATTTCATATTTGCAAATATTCCCTCTAAAATTAATTCTTAATACATAACCTAATCAAAATCACATGAATATTACATTCAGATCCCAAAGCCACTCATTAATATATAATTGTCTCCAATATTATCAAATGAAAGTCTACTTAATTCAGAACTGAGGACATGTCCTGATGATAAGATACAGTTCACAGATGGTTTACATAACACTTTCAACTATAGGAGACCTGGTTGTACTGACACATCTATTATTGAATTGCCCTTTATGAATACTAGCCAACTCATTGATTTATTCTCACTTCCAAACTCTGATTGTTTCTACCTATATAGTCAGCATCACACTAGCATTTAAAATAGTAAATAACTAAACTATGATGATAGGAAGATAAAGCTTCATTATGGATTGATCTTAGCATTAGTTGGACTAAAAAAGCAACATGTGGATTAGCAGTCAGCAGAGATTTGCTTAAAGAGACTCATATTAATGTTATCAATCTGTGGAGCCTGAAGATATACAGTATAGTGCAGATAAATCCAGAAAAAAATAATGGATAATAAAACAGCTTCTTTTTATATAACAAATTAATATATTTCAATGAAACATTATATGGCTACCATTGGCAGCCACCACTTTCTCCAGTGGGGATTAGAAGCTGGGGCATTCCTGTCTATGGTGTCCATGGTGTCTTTGGGGGATGCCTTGAGAGGCTTCTTGATGTTGTTGGGCCTGCTGTCCACCTTCCACTCCAAGACAGTCTACACAAAATAGTCAAGAGGATTGCAGTCTAGCAATGAGGGGGGGGCCATAAATGGTATGGTGAGCAAGTAGCACCTCTTGAGCACTTATGATTTATAATTCAAGTCATCCTTGATAATGCACCTGATTGTTGTCGTGCTGGTGCCCAGTTCCTTGGTTATTTTCCTCATACATTTGCTGGGGTTCTTTTTGATAACCTCAGCAATGTTGGCAACAAATTCTGGCATCCTGGTGAAGCCAGACTGCTTCTTATAAGTCTTGCATTCTGGCCTGAAATTGTCCTTGTTGTCTGAGACTCCATATATCTTTGCAAGGTTTGTAGACCATAGTTTTAGGGTATTTAAACCATTTAATGATTTTCTTGGCTTTGTAACCTGTGTGAAGGCTCTCCATGACAGCAGCTCAACAATCATATTCTGAAAACATGTCAATTACAAGCACCTTGTGCATCAATGGCTAGACAGCTACTGAAGCATAGTACTTTCTAATGGTCCTCTTAAAACCTCACTAGGCTGTGACATCATGTTACTGCTGCCATGTAAAAATTCTGGATTTTCTACACCACACTGTACAGAACATTTATTAAGAAGATCCATGAATTTAGTTTAATGATTTGTGACATTTTAGCATCAATATAAGCAAGTAACCAATATCACACAAGATAAAAAATCATTAGGGCATAATAAAGCAGAATCTTAAAGGGATATAACTTTTGTTACCTGGGACAAAAAAGAATTTCATTGGATTTTTCTATCAGTGAAAGTTGGTTTATGGTTCATAGACATGAGAAAAATTGAATCTGATTCATTCTGGTTGATTTTTTTTTATGGCTTATCAACCTTTTGTGGTTTATTAAAGCTAAAATATATCTTGGACAGTAATATTAATTTATTTTGCCACTGAATATTTCAATAACAGTTTCTTTAGAACAACAATGATTTCTCCAGATAGAAGTTTTACTATTTAACCCATAGCCAGAGGGAGGAGAAGGATTCATTCTTTCTTCAAGCATATTTGCAAAACTTGTGGACCAAAACTTCAGAAAAAGGGAGAACATTATTGATATTATAATCTCCTATAAAATGAATAAACCAGGTTTGATAAATTTAAAAACAAATACACTCTGATAAAACTGCCAAAATACAATAAGTAGATTGTTTTAAATGGAATTAAAACTAAACACTCCTAATGCCATCTAATAGTAAAACAACAACCTAATAATATGTTTCCTTTTGCCTGAAATAATTGATACAAACTGAACAAGTCTTTCCCTTCTGAATTTTGACAAACATAATCCATGACCTTTTGCCTGAGATGATTGATACAAACCAAGCAAGTCTTTCCTTTCAGAATTGATTTTCTGGCACCTTAGTTGTCTTCAAATAGATTTGACAGATTTTCCCCAAATCAACCACGGATGATATTTTAAAGACACTCTCTTAATTTAGTTTTCTCTTTGAACAGAAACAGAAGTGGAATTTATCTCTTTGAGCTTAAAAACAAGCAAAGTGTAGACAAACCCAGACTCTTTCTTCTGACATTTGTACTCATCTTTTATTTTAGACCTACGTCTCTGAAAGCATCATATCACACCTTTAAAAGTATATTTAGTGGATACTTAAGTGCATTCTTTAGACACTTCTTGTTAGTTATTATGTATAGCTAGCCAGTGAGAGTCTGACCTCATCCTATCAATTAGAGATAACAAAGAAAATGTTTTCAAGCTGAAAAGTGTTATCAATCACATCATATCTATTCTCTTTCATTTTCAACATCATTGCTTGTCATCACTACCAAAAGATAATATTGTATTTACTTCATTCTTTACTCTTCTATAATAATCAGACACTTTATATTCAAAGTGTCGGGTCACCAAGGTAGTTAGACACTCAGCAGGATTAAAAACAGGACCTGCCAAAGAGCAGGTGAACTTTCTTGCCGAGTCAACAGTCATCTAGCAAAATGGGGTGAACTGGCTGCCACAGTTACATGCAGCTAGTGTGGTGATGACATGGCATTGCTAAGAAGGGGACTTCCTAGACTGAAGTCAACAGCCTGGGCAAAATGTTCACCTGGTGGAATCAACAGTCATTTATCCCTGAACAAGTAGGGCCTTCAAGTTGGAGGACATCAGTTTTGATTTAACCTGGAGAGGGATGGGATCCGTCAGGTCTACTTGTCCAAGACATCCTACATAGCTTAGATATGTGGAGGGAACGGGCCAAGCACTCAGCTTTCCTACAATTATGCCCAAATAAGGGACTGATGCTGATGATGCTGATGATGACAGCAATGATGGTCATGATGATATCCAAATACTTATGTGACTAGGATGAGTAATGGGTTAAATCTTAAATTCTAAGTCGCCAAAGTATTACTTATATAGAATTTAACTAACAGATAATTATTTTTATATTTGTATAGTCATCATCAGCCTGTTAGTACAAATATCTGAAATTTAGATTAACTCCTAAAAAGGCTACCTCATTAGTAGGTGTATAATATTGGGGTTACTGTATTGCTATTTTGTGAAAAGAGTGTTGGATTGTGATATGATATCCATTTCCTTATATGGAAGGGAATGCTGAAAAATCTCTACAAATGAGGTTCTTCATACCCTTAGTGAATCATAGCAGTTTTTCTCCCTTTGCTAAGCCTCACAACTGCCATTACATTACAGCAAGAATATTCGGTCCGATTGTCAGAACTGACTGCTGGAAACTTCCCTCTCCAAAAGGCAGTACCTGCTCCTATTTATAGCTGGGGGAGTCCATGCTTGTGTGGGTAAATTAGCATAATAGTAAGCAATGAGGTATCTTTAATAAATGACAAAAAGTACATGTACTTAAAATCAGAAAGAGAACTGAAATTTTTTGAACTCGTAATGAGGACTTGGAAAATCTCTCTAGAAATGTGGTTCTACAGAAAGATACTGTGAATTCCATGGATGAAGTGAGTAAGTGTTGTGGCCTTGTTAGGGCCAGAAATAAAGTCACAAGAGAGGAATTAAGTTAAACAAATATATTAACAGAAACAGTAATACAAACATATACAAATGAGAGGGTTACAGCAAGAACGTTTGGTACAACTGTCAGAGCTGACTGCTGGAAACTTTCCTCTCCAAAAGGCAGTACCTGCTCCTATTTATAGCTGGGAATGACAACAAAAAGTACATAAAATCAGAAAGAGAACTGAAATTTCTTGAACTCATAATGAGGGCTTGGAAAAGTTAAACCCTCATAGGGTATAATGAGAGTAAAAGAGATAGGGAATAGTAGAAAACCCTCTACCTGACAAGTTCATTTGAATGGATGGTAGAATGGGAGTTGGGAGGCTTAGCAAAGGGAGAAAAACTGCTATGGTTCACTAAGGATAAGAAGTTGTGGAGAACCATGAAAACCCATGTCATGAAGGGATTGATACTTTCTGATAAGCAATCCTGATAGTTTATTTATACTCCTTGTTATTGTTACATTTTCACTGCCTTGATTCATGTTTCATCTTGATTCAATTATGTCAATACTTAAAACGAACCATTTCTTTTGCATGGCATATATAGGCAGGAGCTGCCCACTCCTAACTTTCCACTCTCTATAGAGTCTAAAAGTGTTGTCTGCATTCTTGTAGGTGACAAATTGTTTTCCACACTACAACCCCTTTCTTTAAGACAAGATGTTGCAAACTTCTCGTTTTCTCCATCGCTATTTCTACGGAAAGTACTCAGACGAACTACATTCCTTCGTTTTACCAGTTCTAACCTTTATGGCTAAGACTTGCCATGCCACACATATTGTAAGAAATCATTTGCCTTCCCTTCATATTTCTTTGGTGAGATATAGGTTCCACTGGGGCAGGTACACCCCATGAACCACTGCCTTGTGGAACTGACTCACAGGTTGCTTCCCCAATTGCTACAATCTTAACCTGTTCAAGTTTAGAGTTAATTGTTATCTTCCCCACATATCTGCATAAGTTGTGCCTCTCACTCTGTAACCCTCTACTTTGAATGGCTCTCGGGCCTTGTACAGAGTGAACACCAAGAGAAAAAATTTTTTTTTAAATTCAACATGTAAGGAGAAAAGTCCATTCTAAGAACATTTTTCCAACAATTTCTATTTTCTAAAGCAAAATACTACAATCTTATTCGCTTCATGGCTT